CCTGAGTTAAATATCAACTAAATAAAACTCTAACAATAATGATGTAAAAGGAGTCTTTTCAGTTAAAACCAGTGTATAATAACCTGGGGAGGAATATTGTTTGCATTGGACTTGGATAAGTAACTCTGAGATTTTTATGTAATATAAAAATTCTTACTCATTTCAGTAAGAGTAAAAAATTAGATTTAATTCAACACTTAATAAATATACCAAATAATTACTAAATGAATAAATGGTAGTAATGATAATCATGACCAGATTTCTATTTTATCAGTCAGAGAAACTGTAAAAGCTTAAAAGTAATCTTATATCTTTTATGATGTAGAATAATGGAGATTGCTTTAGGCCATTCAAAACCATCACAATGAGTGCTTAATTTTTCCCTAAAATAGAAAAAGTAATGCCTTCACAGTTTTGTCTGTTGCTAGAGTGTTAATCTCTATTACTCTGTTCTTTTGTTTCTTCTCCTTGTGAAATCACAGATTATGAAGAAAATGGATATTATTCTAAGCCTTCCTAAAATTTGATTTCAGACCACTATCATCCATGTATTTCATTTGAAATTGAATACTAATTTGGACTATTATTTAACACATGGGGTCTGAGAACACCAGTCTCCATGGTACCTTTTGTTTATCTATTCAACTAATCCCTGTGAGTTTATTGTAAATAAGGAAGACAAAATTAAGGCCCACCTGAATAACATTGCTTCTGCACAGAAGGTCACATCATCCATCTTGTCCATCAGGCTTGGGAAGACACTCCAATTAGCCTTCACTTTAACCTAACTCATGTCAAGTATCAAGATAATACTTGTTTAAATGGCATGGGTAAGATAACCTGGTACCCTCCATCCTTGGAATATTTGGATCAATGTATGCAAGTGGATTAATGTGTGCTATTTTTTGAACACTGTAGGGGGCTCTTGAAATTGACCTTTAATAAATATTTTGGATGATTGGTTACAAATATAAAGTGATAGAGGTAAAGCATATTAAAAAGCTGTTGAAAAATTTTGACATACACATTTTTAGACAAATTAATAAGTCATTAGAAATGTCATTGACTAAACCAGTCATATTTACCAAAAAACTAAGTATATTTTAAGAATATAATTTTTCTTTAATAAAACATACTTGTATTTATACAACCAATTTCTGTTATACACATTGTATATAATTAAAATGAAACCACACAAATTCTATGAAATATATAAGTGAAAGACAATTTCAAAAATGCTGTCAGTCAATAATATCATGTAATACTTTTGTTCATTATAGCATGAATATTTAGTCACTGATAGGAATATATGATTTGTGTGTGTATGTGTCTGTGTTTATGTGTCTAGATATCAGGTTGCAATCATTTATACCATAGTCAATGCCAGAAATTTTAAAATAATGAGATCCAAAATAATAACTTGATAGTTTTTTAAGAGAGCAGATAAGCTTTATATTTTAGTTTTGCTCAATATGAATTTTATGGACTGTAGCACCCATCATATAAAAGTAGAAGGCAAAAATCTGATTATCATATGAGAACAAAGAGAGCAGATAATGAAAAGTTGGAATATATGCCTTCCAGAACATTTATAGATAAAAATTGGGGTAAAATTGATTCAACTATTAAACCAGTTCACTGATTCTGAAGAAATGTTTTTCTGTTCTAGAGCACTGAAAAGTATGGAAAACATAGAAAGGAAAAGAAAGTACAGATGTGGGCAATTTGGATACTTAAGAATTTTGAAAATGATCTTATGTGAAAGTATATCTGAAAAAACGAAATAACTTTTAACATGAACAAACAAATTTTGTATAACACAGAGTGCTATGAGATGCAAAAGAAAATAGTTTTTTTTCCCCTCAAATCTTACCTTGAATATTGAACTATCCCATTCATCATCCACAAAAAAAGAAATAATGTGGAAAAGTGCTTTGTTGTTTGGAAAAGAAGACAAATAGGAGTGTCTCCAGTTTAGAAAAGTAAAATTGGTGAAAATTTAAATTTAAGTATGGCTTTATATAACAGAGGCCATTTTTTAAAATAATAATTTTAGTTGTAAATGGGTTTTTAATTAATTAATTAATTTATTTATTTATATGTGGTGCTAAGGCTTGAACCAAGGGTCACACTCATGCCATGTAAGCACTCTACCACTGCACAACATCTCCTGCCATACCAGAGGCCATTTTAACAGATTAGTAGTTGTCATATAGTACAATCTTTGGACTTTTACTGGTAGCATCCTCCCATTCATTAGAGATCTCCATATATGATTATCATGGAAAAATTGCTTTTGATCAATTTAAGAGAAATACATTTGTATTTCAAAAAATTGCTTTTGATCAATAAGAGAAATACATTTGTTAAAGTATAAAATATTTTTTAATGAAGAGGAAAGCAACATCAAAACGTACTGTGTTACACGGAGAGTGAGTTCTCAAGTGTTTTTGTGTTTGTTTTTGAAAATATTTTACTCTCAAAATTTTTATTATTTTTCTTTGTTTTCAATGAATATATTGAAATATTCAAAAGACAGAGATTTATACTAAAATTGTGAAAATATAATAAAGAAAATAAA